CCGCGCCGGGACCGAGCGCACAGCACCCGCCGCAGCGCCGCCGCCGCCTCAGCTTCCAAGATGGCCGCTCGCGAGGCGGGCCCTGACCCCGTTTCCGCTTCCGGTACGCGGTTCGCCATAGCGACCACTCTAGGCAGCTTGGAGGACGGCGCCCGTGTCTCTATGTCACCCCCGCCCCGCTAGGTTAGGTCTCCGGCTTCCGAGGTGGGCGACGGGCGCGTGCGCACTGGTGGACAGCGCCGTGGGGCTGGGCCGCGCCCCGGGGCCGCCAGAATCTTTCCTCCCGGCTCCTCCCAGGCGTCGCCCGGCGCGGACGTTGTCCCGCAGAAGACCAGGAGTCAGCGAGTGGCCGCCGGCCCCCACCACGCGCTACCCTCCACACAGGCCCAGTTGGAGAGGGACCCCCGGCCCGGGGTCCAGACTAACTCCCGAGTGCCGCGTCCTCCGAGCCACCCTGCCAGTCAGCCCGGCCTCGCCCGCCCCAGCCCCTCCCGCGGGGCCCGCGAGGGCCACGGGCCAGCCGGCCCGCCCCGACCGCGGGGACTGCCGTCCTCATAAAAATAGCTCCAGTGTCTCCTGCCAGAGCTTCCCACCCAGCCCGTGAATGGGCTCTTTATGCCCATGGACACTGGGCCCAGGCTGGACTTCCGCTCCCACGGCCCCTCCCTGGCCCTGGGGCGCAGCTCGGTGGGGCAGGGGCGGCAGGTGGTGGGTTGGGGTGGAAGAAGGAGCAGGTGGGAAGGGGGCGAGGTTTAAAACCCACCCTCGCCCACGCACAGTCCTGGTGACCTCCCCTGCGTAAGGAAAAGCGGGTCCAAAAGATAACTCCTGTGACTCCTATTTTAGGATTCTGTTATGCTCTGTATGTCACTGTCACGCTCTCAATCAGACCCCCAATATGACTCCATGAAGGACTGTTTAAATTCACACAGCAGAGTGTTTACACAACATGGTTCCTCTCCAGCGGCCCACACTGCCCTATCTCTTGCTTTCTGTCAATAAAATCCTTCTGTGCCTCACTTTGACCGGTCCTGAAGTCCCTTCCTGTGATGTCAAGGACCCTCACAGCCCAATTTGAGTCATTGAAGGCATGCTCCTGCTCCCAGCCCAGCTCCTCTTCGGTGTTCCCTTCTGCAGCCCCTGCAATGCTGGAAGACACAAGTTGATTCAATGTCAACAACCCCCAGAGAGCCTGGGGCCCTTCACCTTTCCTCCCCGGCTGCTGGGAAGGAATATGGAAATGGCACCCTCACACAGGCCCAACCCTCCAAAGGATCAGGACTGGGGCCTGAGAAACCCCAGGCCTGTGCTGAGTCTGGGGGCCGCACCAGCTGCATTAGTTAGTCCATCCCTGGGCTGGAAGAGAAACTTCAGCCCCACGTTACATTGAGGAAATAGGCTCAGAGGTGGAGTAATTTGCGTAATGCCATGAACCTGGTGAATGACAGAGCTGTGATCAGCACCAGCCCAGGCCAGTCCAGGGCCGGCCCTTCCCCAGCTTGACTTCCTTCTCCCGAGTTGTCACACCCCAGCCTCTGCCTGCTTCCAGAGCCATGGGACCAAGGACCTCAATGTGCCTTAGAGTCAAGGCTATGCAATCTGGACCCCATGGGAGTAGGGCTCCCTTCCTCATCCCAACCCAAGTCCTTTGAGGTGAAATGTCAGGAACCCAGAGCTTGCCCTGATGAGGTGGCAGCAGGGCTGGAACCCACCCCTCCAACTGGGACCATGATGCAGCGCTGGCCATTTGGAATGCAGAGACCACTGGTCAACCTGGGGAAATGCAGGCTCCCCTTGTAGAGACCGGACAGGGCTCCTGTCGTCTGGCCTTCCGCCTTGCACAACCACACTGTGGGTGCCCTATCCTGTGCTGTGCTTTTAGTAGGCGGTATATGGTTTTAGCATGTGACCTGTCATCTCAGTGTGGTTGGTGGTAACCTCAGCTTGGGAGAGGGTGAGGCCCCACCCAGGGTCCCTCGGCCACAGACACCTATAGTCAGGGCTGGAGGCCTGAGCCAGGCAAGCCGGGATGAGCGGGCCTTCCTCCAGGCCTGGCAGGAGAGTGGGCCAGGAGGGGAGGGGCCCAAACCTCTGAGAGCCAGACAGAGTCTGAGGGGCCAGTGTGATAGAGGGTACCAGCCCAACAAGGGCCTCTCCTCTCCCTCCAAAAATGGCTACCCCTCACCCCAGCCAGGGTCAGGGGCCCAGGCCTGCGCTGCATAGCTCAGGCTGAGAAAGATTTACCTGGCAGAGGGGCCCCACATCTCTACCTCCTGTCGAATTCAGCTTCCAGTCCAAAGCAGGTATGGCTGCCCCTGCTGGCTGGGCCCCGCCCATGAAGCCCCACCCCACACCCAGCAGCTTGTTAAAGAGGCAGCTGCCCAGCTGTCACCTAGAGCCACATCCTGCTCAGTGACCTACGGAAGCTCTGAAGCTATCACCATCTTGGTCATATACCACACCATTGATGAGGAATGGAGGCTCCTGCACAGGAAGTCCCCAGACTGAAGATGCTTGGCACGGGCTCCACTCCCTGCACTTGGCTCCTGGGGGTCAGGGCGGGCCCTTGGTGGCAATCAGGGTAGGTCGTCTTTTGGGTGGACTTGGCCTGGAGCAAAGGACACTGCACGCACTGTGGTGTACAGTGTTTGCTAAACAGAAGCCGAAGGAACACTACAGACACCGTGGGCACAGCACCTGGGGGAACGCCCCCAAGAGCGTGTGTCCCGGCGCCAATAACCATTCAGAATACACACGATGCGAGCCATGTGTTGGCCACGCTGTAAGCATGGAGCCAGGCAGGGCAGAGGGGTTGGCCTGGTCCTCTCTCACACACTCAGACGTGAAGGACCAGGGCAGGAAGGGTGTGCAGCCATAGGAAGCAGAGTTCCAGCTCATCCTCTGTTGTGTGGCCTGCTGACCGAGGGCTCCCATGCTGGGCAGCACTCTTGGTGAGTGTGAGCAGACATGTGTGAGTGTAAGCACCTGTGTGTGCCTCAGGGCTGCACCTGATCTCCTGCGGTGACAGAGGCCTCTGGCATCTGCAAGGGCACCTCTTGTGCCCACTTCTTGTGCCTCCAGTCCCCTCTCTGGACCCTTCAGAACAGGGGTTTCTGTTCCTAAGAGAATTGGACCTCCCTGGCCTCCTATAACATGCAGTCCCCCTCCTGGCTTACCTGTGAGGGCTTGGCATGACTGCAGGACACTGGGGTGGCCACTGTAGGCACTCAGTACTGCCAGGCACATGGGGGCCTCCACCCCTGCTTCCAGGGACCCCCAAAAGCTAGTTGGCTGGCCCTGACGTGCATGTTCCCAGAGCACACTGGAGCAGCCTGCTTGGGCACACCCAACAGGGCACAGGCAGGCTGGGTTGCAGCAGGTACCAGCCCAAGCCTCGGCAGAGGGGGGGTGCTGGGCCCCAGCAGGCCACACCCCAGGCACAAGAAGTAATTCAGGCCAAGATGTGGACAGTCCTCAAAGTCTGTCAGGCTGGGCTGTGCCTCTGTGGCCAAGGGACATGAATGTCCAGATATTCCAGAGACAGAGATCAGAGAGCTGCCAGATCCTGGGTGGGGAGACCTGGCTGGGCTGGGAGTGGGGGGTGGCTGCTGGTTGGATCAGGCAGGGAGCCACCTGGGTGGCAGGCAGGGGCCTTCTGAGGTTCCCTTCTTGGACACAGGGTGGAACCACGGCCCAAGCGTCTGACGCAGGGCCTGGGCCCTGGAAGCGCCACCAGAGCTAGCCGTCCCTGCCATCGTTTGAGGAGGAGGGGGGTGGCTGGTGGAGCTGTGTGCCTCCTTCAGAGACCTGCTGGCCTCCTTCTGCTCCAATGCCACCGACATGGCCTGGTCTGCCCGGTCTGCTCCTGCTGGAACCATCTCCAGACTACCTCCTGGGGGCTGCTGCTTCTGGGCACCCTGGGGGTGCTCTGCTGGAGCAGTACTGGCACCACCCAGTCATCATGACAGTGTCCATGCACTCGGAACGCCAGCTCTTCTTCCCCCAGTCACCCTGGGCGACAGGAACTCACCCCAGTGAGGACCTGCGGGTGTCGGCCTGAGGGCTGGGCTCCCTGTCTCTTCAATCCTGGGACTTCTCCCGGAGCACAGTCCCCTGAAGCCTGGCCCTGGGTGATGACCTATGCTGTGCCCAGCCAGGACTTCCGAAGGGACACCCAGTCACTGGGAGCCCAGGGATGAGGAGAGGAGGGGCTCTTCCAAAGGGCAGTCTGAGCTGGCCTGCGAGCTTGGGTTCCCCCAGGAGGGGGCAGGAACCAAGGGAGGTGGGGGCCGTGAGCATGCAGGAGGACGACGTGGAG